CCTGGCACTGATTAAGAAAAACAAAAAGCAAAACCATGTTTTGTTCTTTTTAAAGAGAAGATTGAGTGATTCCTGAAATGGTTTCTTACTGGCTGGTTTGGATTTCTGGTGGGGGTGGAGGGAGGACAAAAACGAAAGTCAGACCTTTAGCTCATTTCTTGGAAGGAGCTAACTCCTTTTTATTTTATTTCTTTTTCCCCTTTTCACATCTGTCAGGCTGTGGCTTGTGAATTTCAAAGATTTCCAACCTCCGCTTTGGTTTTTCATCAGCTGACCCAGGAAAGCTGTCCCAGCCTGTGTGTGACTCTCCAAGCATCGTGTCCACTAGGGAGCAGGAGACCCAAGGCCACACACGCCCATGGCCAGGAGTCTCAGGCTTCAGGGGGAGGGAAGGGTAGTAGAGTCAACAGCTGATTTGACTCGAGTCAAATAATTTGTGTGTCGGGCTTTCTATTTAAGGAAGCACAAGGTCATCTTTAATTATCAGGTCCCCAAGGACTCTAGCCATCGTGGCAGGTGACATTGAAAAGGGAGAGGCTGCTGGCATTAATTCCTGACTTTTCTATTCCTGCCCCGCAGGGGGCTTCTCAAGGAGTCAAGCCCAGAGCTGCAGCTCCCACCCCTTCTACATCCCTCCATCCGAGACCTTAGTTGAAGCTGAAGCCACGTCAGCTCACCCACCCACCCTGCAGCAAACCAGACTGGAGGAGGGAGAGGCATCTGGAACATTCTGTGACTCCTAGGAAACCCAGCGGTTAGGCAAAGGTCATAAGTCCAGCTGAGCCAAGCCAAGCAGCTGTGCCGCCACTTCTGATGTAGAGCAATGTGGCCAGAGACAGCAGGTCATGGGAGGTGGTAAAGAGCCAAACAATGATGGCATAAAAGCCAGAAGTCAAAGCTAGTTCAAGATCACACACAGCCCTCCCTATTCACATGCCAGCTCCCCAAATCCCAGGCCATCATTCTCCCACCTGGGATTCCAAACCCAGCAGATCCCCAGGAATCAGTGGGAGGAGACCCTGGAAAACCAGCTGGACCCTCTGGGAAGCCCAAGCCACAGTGAAGACCCTCATGATCTGAACAGACAAGTGACACAGGGAAGGAGCAGCTCGCCATTCCTGTCATTGGGTGACTGTGATCCCTGAATTGCTTAGTACCAGGCCCAGCAGAGAACCCCACGGAGATAACAACCTGTGACTCTCTGTGAGCATTTTAGGCAACATGCCTGGGAGTCCGTTTCCTCTGCTTGGGGAAAACAGCACACACATAGCTTATAAGAACCAGGGGGTAGTTTAGCTCAGGTGGGCAAGGGGCAATGTGAAGGGTGCTCCCACACATCACCCTCGGGCACATAGGTGCCACGACCCAGGCGCCCACAAGCACACGGACACTTGCAGACACAGATGCATGCATGCAATTCCAGGCACACACCCCCCACGGGCACACACAGCTATGACTCATACCCTCTGGGTGGCGTGATTCAGCATCTCCTGCCAAGCCGAGTCGAATTGCCGCTTGTCATCCTCCAGCAGCCGCTGCTCAGCCAGGGAAATGGTTTCCTTAGCGGCACGGAGCACCTCTGTGGCCCTCTGGAAATCCTGAGTGGCTTTCTGAGCTTCCAACTGAGCCTGTATGAGGAAGAACCCTCATGAGACCTCAGGAAATGGCAGCGGCTCCAAAAGATGAGTGTCCCGAGGGCTGGGACATGCCTGTCCATCTCGGCCTCTCCACTCTGGAAACAGGCTTGCCACCCACAGGTCCCTGTAAATGCTGGGTAAGCAGGTGAATGGACATTTTTCATACCCCAGAACCCAACAGACCAGATAAACATGCCAACTCTTAGTCAGAGTCAGAGATGGCAAACCAAACCCCTCATGGGACAGATGTGGCCAGTGAGGGCCTTGGTGTAGCTCTCATATGCCAGTGATGCCATGGTGAACACAGTGGTCCTCAACACTGTCCCTGCCCAGGTCTGTGGCTCAGTTCATGGCATGTCAGGACCAGAAAGGCCCCGGGAGATCACCGTCCAACAGCACGCTTCCACAGGTGGGAACTGGCTGAGATCCAGGCCTTCCCCAAGCTCACAAAGCTGGTGAGAAGCAGAGCTGTGACCAGACTCCAGGTACTGAGTCCCACCCCTGTGCTATCCCTCTGCCAGACAGGCCCCCACTCAGTTCACACTTGCTTTCAAGGAACGTCAAGTGGGAGAATCTACATACGCTGCAGCTGATCATGTTAGGCTACCACCAGCCACATGTGGCTCTTGGGCATTGAAAGGTCATTAATCCAAACTGAACACAAAACACTCCAAATGTTGAAGACTTAGTACAAAAAAAACCAATATCTCCTCAATAATTTACATGTTGATTACATAACTAAGTGACAATATTTTGGATATACTGGGTTAAACAAAGTACATTACTAAAATTAATTTCACCTGTTTCTTTTTACTTTTTTTACTGGGACTACTAGACAGTGTAAAATGACATGGTTGACTCACATTCTGTTTCTTTTGTACAGTTGACACGCCTCCCCCAAGATTGGGCCATGTGATTGCCTTAAGAATTTAGCCACACACCCTCTGGTCACCCTCTCACAGGCCCATCTTGAATTCCCCACCAGAGTATGGGCAAGCCATTGCCAAATGCTGGCCCACCCTCAGTTAACCAGATCCCCATGTCAGTTACATAAGCTTAGGGG